GTAACGGAGCACAAAAACCATAGTCGGTCGCTTTGGAGGCAGTAATCTTCCATGAATATTTTAGGAGGTGGTTGTAGCTCCAATTTATCATACATGATCTAGTTGAAAGCTATGGTAGTAGTTGGCTATGTATGTCTTAGATTGTTGCTTTGGGGTCGTCGATTAGCCACCAAGGTTGTAACAATGAGTTAAATGAGAGAGAGAAAAAGAGAGGCATGGAGTGAAGCACACAATTAATAATGAACAGTAATTTGAATTCTTGATTACTCTTGTTTAAGAAAATGATCCCTCTGTTACGAGGTATAATATATAAAGTTACAGATTTTCTCTTACTTTAATTGGAGTGTTACAAGATATTTTAGTCTTTTTACATATATAGATATTCTGTTTGACCATCCTATATCACGGTCAGTTGAAGCTGGTCTTATTTTGACAAAACCTTTTTGTCTGACTGTGTTATAACAGGGTTGTTGGTCGGCCCTCGATGGTCTTCTGGTCAGCGAGACTTGAATCGATCAACTTGGTTTTGTGGCTATGCTAGTCTGGTTGCTGACTATTGATCCTTAGATAAAGTTCTCTTGTCAGTAGAGCAAGGCTAGACTATAGAGTGTAGAAGGTGAATCACCGCAATTTGACGGGTAGATTGCTCCTTGACGAGGTAATCTTTCGATACTTTGTGTAGTTATGCCCAAATGAGGAATTTCATGGGGATCTGTCAAGTAGACGATGACGCTAAATTTTTCCCTCGAGTAAGGTTATGATGAGAGGAAGTTCGATGCTCGCGCTCGGCTCGATAAGCTTTAGTCTTTGGTTCAGACGACCTTTGCTTGATCAACATTTAACCACAACTTAAGGGGGTTGTACTTGGTCAGATAGGTCTTTTGATATTCCGCTAGTAAACACTTAACCTTTTGATGTTGAACCCATAGACTTCCGCTGATGAACCTTTAGTCTTTCATCCATGGGCCATTGATCTTTCATTTGTGGGCTCTCCTTAGCTGTACTCTTTGGCATCATTAGATTTCCTTAAGGTTCATGCAGATGATTATCTTTTGACATATCCTATATTACGGTCAATTGAACTCAGTTGGTCTTATTTTGACAAAACCTTTTTGTTTGACTGTGTTATAACAGGGTTGTTGGTCGGCCCTCGATGGTCTTCTGGTCAGCGATACTTGAATCGATCAACTTGGTTTTGTGGCTATGCTAGTCTGGTTGCCGACTATTGTTCCTTAGATAAAGATCTCTTGTCAGTAGAGCAAGGCTAGACTATAGAGTGTAGAAGGTGAATCACCGCAATTCGACAGGTAGATTGCTCCTTGACGAGGTAATCTTTCGATACTTTGTGTAGTTATGCCCAAATGAGGAATTTCATGGGGATCTGTCAAGTAGACGATGACGCTAAATTTTTCCCTCGAGTAAGGTTATGATGAGAGGAAGTTCGATGCTCGCGCTCGGCTCGATAAGCTTTATTCTTTGGTTCAGAAGACCTTTGCTTGATCAACATTTAACCACAACTTAAGGGGGTTGTACTTGGTCAGATAGGTCTTTTGATATTCCGCTAGTAAACACTTAACCTTTTGATGTTGAACCCATAGTCTTCCGCTGATGAACCTTTAGTCTTTCATCCATGGGCCATTGATCTTTCATTTGTGGGCTCTCCTTAGCTGTACTCTTTTGCATCATTAGATTTCCTTAAGGTTCATGCAGATGCTTATCTTTTGTACAATCTTGAATGTTATAAATTGTTCAAAATTTTATATAAAAATATGATTAGTGATCATGCATGGATGTATCAACATTTAGACAACAATAATTATCTGTCAAATAATTTTATTTGTGGTGTGGAAGAGCACATCAATTTCTTTGACTATAAATGGCAAATGTTACCTTATTCTTTTATGAATCTATACAATGAGATTTGCAAGTGGATTAATTTATCATAGATAATTATAATAATGAGCATTTTGGTGAGTGAACATGTGAATTGTTAATGCTATGAACAAAAATTGCGATGAGATATCCTCAAGCAACTGTTATTCTTATGATGTAAATGTTTGGGCATAAATGGCGCTCAACTGGTGCCCATACAATCACAAAATAATAATCAGATCATCTTAGATTATTGGTGGAAAATAATATCTTTTATGCCGACATCAATCATTACAATAAGGTTATTTACAATAGAATATATCGAATATGTATGTCTGGAATAGCTATAATTATTTGAAGAAGCAGCTAAAATGATGCTGCTGTAGAAAAAAAAAAAAGTGTTGTTTAAAAAATTGTTGTGGCTATTATAAATTTAGTTTTATTTTCAAAAAATTAGATGATAATTTTCTGATCGTCTTCATACTCAAGGTCGGGTTGCAAAATGCAGCTTCCCACAATAATTTTTTGAAAAAACAGATAAAACATAGTTTTGTTAAACACGTGAAAGTGTAGTGCATCACCACATTGCTACTCCAAACACAACCATATCAAATGTTGAACCTACTTATTTTTCATATGAGAAATTTATATACATGGCACATATTTCTTAAAAATTTATATATCTAACACCTAAAATTTAATATTTATATTTATAACACTTTAATATCATAAACTTTTACATGAAAAGTTATATTTATGATGCGATGTTATATATATATATATATATATATATATATATATCTC